TAGTCCATTCTCTTCCTACCCTACTCTACCTCTTCTTCTCTCTAACTCATCGTCGTTGCCAAATGCCTAGATGTTGGAGCAGCATTGAGAGGCCGTGCACTGTCACTAATGAGGCTTCTCTATCCACGTCTCATGTAGAAGCCTCTTGCAGAGTCAACGAGATTCCTCTGCTACAGTGCTGTTCGCAGTGGAGTCAAAGTCGTTCGTAGAGGTGCCTCGGGCAATGAATGGTGGCGGTGGTAGTTTACATGTTTGACTATGGTTTTTGTTGGTGGAGATGGTGGTAGATCTAGTGGTGGTGGTAGAGATGGGTTTTGTTGGATTTATGGTGAATCTAGCGGGGTGGATTTGACAATGGCGTTGTTGGATTTGGTGTTGGCGGTGACTTTGTTAGATATGACGGTGGCAGTGACAGTGATTTTGTTAGACTGGCTCTTGCGGTGGTTTTTGTTGATACATGCGGTGATGGTGGTGCTACAAACAAATTAGGGATTTTTTTTTTGGTGGGGTTATGGTTTTGGTGGAGGCAAAGGAGGCGGGCTATGCTGTAACTGAATCACTAGTAGCAGGCGTGGGTGGGATGCAATTGGGAATGAGGAGTGTTTGTGACCAATTATTCGGTTGATTGTAACAATAAATTAGTTAATATGTGATAGATAAATAATTCGTGACCAATAAATAATTTATAACCTAAAAAATATGATTGTGACTTACAGTTTGTTATGTTGTGATCGATAAATTACTTTTGACTGATTCATTTGATAATTTGTGACCTTTAAATAAGCTGAAACTTATAAAAGTTGTGATTTTGTGATTGATGAATAAATTGTGACATATAAATTTTTGATATGTGATTGATGATAATTTGTGACATATAATTTTTTTTTATCTATGACAAAGAAATAATTTTTGACATGTAAAATTTTTTATTTGTGACTCAGAAATAATTTGTAACAAATTAATGCGATAATTTGTGATCAAATTGTATAGATTTGTGACCTTAATATATTTAATTAATAATTTCATAAATAGACTTTAATAATATCTAATTTTTGAAATTTTAAACCTTATTTTTTAGTTTTGAGTTTTGAAATGGATCACAAAATAAAAAATTTATTTATTGGTAACAAATCAAAAATTTTATATATCACAACTTATTTAACAGTCACGATTTTTTCAAATTAGTTGGTCGCAAATTATTTTTTAGCCGCAAATTATCGAATTTTTAGGTCACAATCAAATAGTTGGTCGCATACACCAAACATCCACTCCCAAAACTATAATCAGTTTTTATTTATTTTATATTATAAATGTAAACAAGTGAATATGTTGTTCCCTGTACTTCATTGCATGTAAGAATGAATTATTTATGTGGTCACAGTAACAAGTGAATGGACTTCATCGACGTTGGCTTCTCCTAGCACTGTGAATTGGAGTCCGAGAATGGATATGACAATCATCAGTGATGGCTTGGAGTCTTCCACTAACATAGATGAAGTTATTGGTATCATCACAATGGAAGCTCAATGGTGGTCTCTGATAGTGAGTGCGACGACGTTGGAGGTGTGAGTTTGATTGAGAGAGTGAGAGAAGAGAGGAGATGGAGAGAAACGAATTTTAGGGTTTGGGATTAAATTGAATTGAGATAGATATGGCAATCGAGTTCGTCGACTCAGGTCGTCCGTGGCTCACCCGAAAAAAGCCCGACTCAGCCCTGCTTGAGGCTTGGGCCGAGCCTCAATTTGGGTTGCCGAGCGTTTATATATATATAAAAAAAAATGCAGCATGCTTGTTACCTTATTTGCCTGCTTTCTTAAATAATGCTGCTGCCTATATATACTAGTCGATGCCACGTGCATTGCACGATTATTGTAATTAATATGTCTTTATTAGCGTGATGTAGAGATTTTAGCTTTCTTGTTATAATCCTAACATGCTTTTGAAATTTGAATTAAATTTTTGGCATGAATTTTCTCTGACACTTAGTAAAAATTAGATTTAAAATTATGGCAATATAAGTAAAAGATAATTTATAATTTTATGGGACCGCACGCGATCTTGCGGAGTCCGTACCATCTCCGTGCGGGGAAGTCCCCGCACAGTATGTGTGGGGGCTCCGCACCAAGATTGCTATAAGAAGTTATACTTCACGGGTTCTAGGTGTTTGCATGCTCAAAGTGATTAAGAGAACTAATATCACCAAAATTCAGCAAAAATGAGAATATTTATATATACAAGCAAGGGATGAAAAGTGGAAATAACTTCCTAGAAAATGAAATGTCCAGCTATCAACATTAAGAAAAAAGACGCAACATATAATCATATTGTGCTGTTGGCTCATTTTCAATTAATTACTACCAAAAAGTTTAGCAATGGGAATTCTATAGGCATAGATAGAGATTCAAATGGTTTGCCCAATCACCTTATTATGCTCTGCTTAAACCTATAGCTAAAAACTTAACAGAAACCATTTGCAACAATTAACTAAAATAACAAAACCCCTTATACTTGGAGCAATTCAATCATTTTTACTAAACTTATATGCTTAACCTAATCATTCATCAATTTCTTGCTAATTTCTTTAATCTTGCATTTTCCTACTTCAAGTGCCAAACCATAGCCTAAAAAATTAATCTATATTTCCTTTTTTTTTTGTTTTTTTCTCTCTCTATTTTCTGTTGATCTTATGGCCAAAAATTCAATATAAAAAGACTTATACAAACTGAAAATACACACATTCTTAATATGCATAAAGTATGAATAAACCCATATGAAGAGTCCCAACAAAAAAAAAGTTGAAAATAAATAAAAAAGGTAGATTTTTTCCCTAGTTGACTCTAAAAAAAAAAAAATTTAAAATTCAAGACTTCTTTTTTGGAGCACATATCAAAAGTCTATTCCCGACATCATCGGAACGATCATCAACAAACAAAACACACACCCAAAATTAATGAAATGACGAAAACTCAAACATCTAACACATAAATTTAGGGATTAAGATAAGATAAGTCCATACCTTCAATATTATTCAGTGTTAAAACCCAAAAAGTCCCCGCACAGACTCCGCACCAAGATTGCTACAAGAAGCCATACTTCACAATTTCTGTCAAAATTGCTCATGCATGAGATACACAAGAGACATAAATGAATTAACAAGTTAATAAGCATTTTAATTTACATTAAACCAAGAATATATCTCTCTATTCACACAAAAACCCAAAATTGTGAATCGAATAACAAAATTATGATTATCAGATGAAACTGAGGATGTACCTCTCTATTCACTCGAAATAAAAAATTTTGCACGTAGAATCTTGAATAAACAAAATCATAATCTGAGAAAAACGGCATGCCAGGATTTACCTCTCTATTCATGAGAATCTTGCACGAAGAGATAAATCATAGAAAAAACGAGAGAAGAATTGAAGAAAAAATGAAAGAAGAAAATGATAATAATGAAAAAGAAAGCTTGTGTCTGGTTTGCGTGGGGAAATGGCTTCACCGTCATTTTGAGTAAGAAAAAATGGGTATGACTGATATCTACAGTGAAATCACTGTTTAGCTACAGTAGAAGTCCCGAACACTATCGCAACTACAGTGAATTTTATTCATCTTTCTATAAGTAGCTAGATAAAGCGAGCTTGTTCAGACTCGGAAAAGAGCTTGGACATTTTACCCGAGCTCGAGCCGAGAGTTTCAACTCGACTCGTTAACATCCCTAGATTGAGATGGTGTTGGATATATTTTATATTATTATTATTGATAGTTAGATTAACACTTGATTTATGAATAAATAAATTTATCATCTGATTTTTAAACTATGATGATTTTGAAAAGGCTGATCTAGTGTAATTTTATCTATATATCTTGGCCTAAGGTTCTCAAAAATGTTAGGATCAGCCTTAATAAATTGAGTCGACTGATATGATCCAATTCTAATCAAGGTCCAATGTTTTCGAATAAAAATTCAACCCTTATCGAGGGGTAGTACATTTATTTATTTTTTACAGTTAATCATATATATTATAATATGATAATGTACATTTATCCGCGAAGTAAAAGATAAGTTCGAAGAATTCCAATTTGTGGCTGTCAATATCTGAAGAAGGCCCACACAACCACCAGTTTTCCAATCCATTAATTCCTTCCAAGTTAAACACTTCGTTGCTTGCACGCTTAAACTGAACCATGGATTTGTATAAAATACAATTTCAAATAATGAAATTAGGACGTGAGTGAATATTTTTAATTGACTTCCTTGCCTAATTAGTAACTTATTATGTGGAAAAAGAAAATGAGGTTTAAGCCTTGATATAAGAAGACTCGAAATAAGATCTCATTGCAAGAAATAGCATAAATTTTCATTAATACATGTCTCAATGAATTACACCAATACTAAATTTCTTAGTTTTTTTGTTACAATGTGAACGAGAAAATTAAGATAGAACATATTATATGATACTCAAATTTCCTACCATTTGCTTTCTATAGATATTATGTTCTCTTTTAAAATTGTGATTCACCATTTTGTCTCATTGTACCTATCTTGATGAGAATATTATTCAGTCAGTAGGGATGCCAAACTCGTCCTGACTATTTTTTTATTTTGTATTTAATCCTCTTCGTGTGGCAAGATCTTTTTTCAGCTATCCGTGAATTTAAAAAGAATATAAAAAACAAGTTACACTCCATTTTAATTCCATCCCACCATAATACAAGAGAGGATAGGAAACAACAAGGTTTGACAAACAGAGTAGAATCAATTTCTAAATGAGTTAATTTCACTCAGTTTGTAAGAAATTTCAAATAGGCAAGTAAAATAAATTTCGTACTAGTAATTTTTAGTTATAAATTTCACAAATAGTCACTCACAAAACTAACTTTATAATTTATATCCTACTTATCCTTGTAAGTATCAAAGTGAACCAACAGATGTTGTTCAATACGCTACATGAGACATCATCGTCTCCTAATCTACTTTGATGTCAACGAGCAATATTTTATGTTAATTTTTCTTGGCGAAGGATCATATTTGTAAATCTGTACACTTTCTCCTTTTTCCACTTCTCTAATTCTCAACAAGAAAAAGACAAACCCTCTGCTTCTCTCACTACTTGCTAGCTCTCTGCACGTAACCAAAAACAATCCAAGAACTCCAACGAATTTTGAAAGCCCAAAAGAAGACAGATAAATATCCATTCGTAACCAAGAAGTTTATCCACTTGCCTCGATTACCGCAAAAATATTTCCTAACCCATCAAATTTTCTTGGATTACAGCTGCAGTATTAACCCTTTATTTTCAAGATCTTTGACAACCCACAAAAGGAAAAAAGATGAGACAATCAAGACATCAAGAAGATCATCAGGGCAAGATTTTCTACGAGTTATCAGCTTTGGTTTTGAATATTCTCCGGTCACCTTCTACGCCTGTTGATTTCTCCGATGAGATCCGACCCGGCCGTTGTCCTCCGGAGAGAACTGAACCGGTGATGCAGCAGATTACGCCGGCTGGATTTGCATCTCTGCTTCTTGGGGTTTCTTTGACTCTAATGCTGTCTGGATCTGTGACTTTTTTCATTGGGTTTATGTTGATGCCGTGGGTTCTTGGATTGGTTATGTTTCTTTACTTTGTTGGGATGGTTTCGAGTATTTCTATGATCGGACGAGCCATTTTGTGTTATGGGTCTTCTCCTTCTTCGCCCAGGAAAGATGTCCCTTGTAAGAATTCTCCCAATTACTTTGTTTAAGATTCGACTTTAAACATTAGAAGTATGCCCTTTTCTTTGTCAATGAAATTGTATTAAATTTTTTCTGTTCAGTCTGATTTTCTGATTTAGAAGGTTTCTTTGTAGGCTGATTTTTTTTGGTAATTAACTGTTCTATTTGAGGAAGTTCTTGGTGGGTTTTCTTTTGTGATTAAAAGTTAAATTTTTTACAGTATATTTAATTTTAAGCCCAGCCAAACATGCTTCTGACGAGGATAGTTAAGGAGCAATCTTGATGAGGATTAGTTATGGGGTTTTGAACGGCTTGATGCCTATGACGTGAGACTCTTAAGTTTAGGTCTTTCATAGTAGTGGCAAATCATTGGAGTATACAAGAAGAAATTTTATTAAATTTACAGAGTTCAACCTATAAAACAAGGAGAAAAAAAGGCATATGAAACAGTTCTCTGCCATGGTTGCAAGTTGAAATTTCCGACTCAAAATCGCTGCTCTTGATGCAGTTGGTACTGAAAACCATGAATGAGTTCTCAGATAAATATTTATATGTTTTTCAGTATAGCGTGGTTTGTTAAGCTTAAAATGTTTTCGTTAGTAAGTGTACTTTTAAGTAAATAAGTTTTATAAGAAATAATTCTTTTAATTGTCAAAATTGGTAATAAGTGTTGGAGACGACTTATAAAAAGGGTTATGTAAGGGTTGGTTTTTGATATATTTGTTTGACCAATTTTAACCCGCAAGAGCGCGATCAAAATACAATTTATATGAATGAAAATTTGGATAGAGTTTCGGTATAAAGATTACACAAAACAAGGATTAAGAAGAATTAGAAATAGAGAATAATCTAAGGCGAGACTTTATCTCTTTCCTTAAAACAAATTGCCTCGCTACGGTGCTCACGGTGAATGACACTTGTCTCTCAAGATACAATCGATTCACAACTTGTGGAAGCAACACTTCAAACCACAAGAAACCGACGAACTTTTGACAGAATTTCTCCTCCATAAAGGAAATGTATGAAATGCTATAGAATTAGAAAGAGGAGAATTGCGAGAGGAGAATGAATGCTCAATGCAATTGGTGTGTCCAAAACCATGTCTATAGGATTCTATTTATAGATGTAGAAAGGGTGCAAATAAAGTGGTGTGGGCCAAAACATGCATCATTTCAAAAAAGTTGCAACACTTGGCCAAAACCTGCACCTTTCGAAAAGTTGCAACATTTCATTTCTTCCAACTTTGGTCCGTAATTTCTCATTCATCTGGAATTGGTTTTGAGATTCCAAATATACCGCGACGATCTACTCGACGAGCAGAATAAGTTGGTCTATTTACTTTTATAATTTGACCGTTGGATCAAGTCCGAATATTTGGTTGAAGTTGACACGTAGTCACACATTTTCATTCTCCATTTTTACATACCTTTTCATTTTCCAATTTTTACACATCTTTTCATTTAATATTTGAACCAATTCCTACTATAAGTTACTTTTTCTTACATTAAAGTAAGAATACATTAGCCAAAACTATTCTTTATTGGTCTTTTAGGAGCTCTTCTTCGGTTCACAGGTCTGATGTACTTTTTCTGTTGATGATGGGAAAAAGGTTTGGGTCATCAAGGATAAGTTCGTAAATCCGCGGCTTTCCTTGCTTTTTCATACGCAATCTTGACTAATTTTAGCAAGATTTAGTTTTGAAGTGTAAGCTCCATAACAAGCTTACTCTATCTCCTATCTTCATTCTAACTAAGCTATGCTTGCTAGCTCGGCTCATTAGACCCCTAATTGTAGTCTCTACTTGCAAAATAAAGGCAGTTTCTGGAATGGCTTTGGTATTACATTTCTGATTGGATATATTGAAGAGTCGTCAATATTAGAAACTTATTTCGAGAAAGAAGCTGATTGTTAATCCATAGTGCAATCTTTTGTGTGTTACCGTCTACTATTGGCTTTATTTTAGCACAATTAACATTTTGTTTGTACTGTAGATCGCCTAAAACATAATTCCACTCATTTTCACTTAAAAGCATGGTAAATGAGATGGGAAGATTGTAAGCAAAATTTATTTTCACTTTTTCTTCTCAGATTTTTTTTTTTTTTTTGGTCGAGGAGTGGTTGATTTATTTTCTTCCTCGAATTGTAGCCTGGAAGCTGTTGTGAGGCCATTTTAGTGGTTCGACAGTACAGGGTAGGATATAACAGCACTGTTATTCTTTTGCCATGATGCTGCATACTGCTATGTGGATGATACAGGATTGTAGATATTTCTCTCTTACGGGTATTACACAAACTTGTGGATGTGCATCTTTCTTCTGCAGAATGAACTCTATTGAGCAATTGAGGAAACTAATTAGTCATTTTAACATAAAGAAATAGGAAGATCAAATTCTGTTGTTACATGTTTTGGTCCTTTGTTATTGTTTCAGTGCTTGTGATATGTATAATCATTACAAACCTTGTAATTTTTCGTTTTAAAACTTGTGTTTGCAGAGAATGGTGAAATGGAACAATTGGTCACCTAAAATCATCGTGTTTGTGTAACATTGTTTTCATTTTCTCCTTCCTGATATTGATCATGATGGAAGTGTAAGATAATCCTTTTCCACCTCGACTGGCCGATGGGCACGGTGGAGACTGGTTCTTCAACTGTTGTCTGTTGATGTTAAAAGGAAGAAGCCCTGAATGTCATGGCTTGCATGATTTCCAAAAGGGTCTCCAAGTGTGGTGCTAGTCGGAGAAAAATGAGTGATTTGTGTATAAATTTTATATTTTAGTCACTAACAATATCAATAGAACAAGTTGACAGCAAATGAAATTACAAAATTTGAGAAGAAAGTTAGAAAGGCTAAACCTAAGATAGTCACAGAAACCGATGGTCGACGGTCATGTGGCCTTTTGTTCGTCTATGTACTTTCTGTGCCGTACAATTTCAAGATAAAATTCTAATTGCTCACAGTCGATACTTCTTCTATGGACACGATTTTAGGAAGATAAAGTACAAGCTCTATATCGAGTTGTGAAAATTATATGAATGTAATATGAAATGCATACTGAGTTTTTTTTCAAAGTTATGTATATCCAAAAATGAAAAATCATCTCCCTTTTATAATGTTAAAATTTTTTTAGGGTAATTAGCACAAAACGCCCCTATCTTTGATGTTTATTGTGGAAAATGTTCTCACTTTTTATTTTTTAACATTTTTGCCTTTATTTCCACATTTCTTTACGGAAAACGTCATTTTCATCATTTTTAATGTAAAATTATCAAAATACCATCCCATTTAAATAAAACAAAAATAAAATAAAATAAAATAAAATAAAGAATAAATTACAATCTTACTCCTAAATGTTTTAAAAGGTGTAAGTGAGTTCAAATAATTATTAATAGACTTAATAGCACTAAACGTCTCTACGTTTCAAATTAGTGAAAATGACGTTTTTCGCAATGAAACGTGGAAATAGGGATGAAAACTTAAGAAAATTGAAACGTAGGGACCTTTTTCGCAAGAAGTGTCAAACGTAAGGATATTTTTTATCATTAGGCCTTATTAAAATATTAAAAGAAACTCTCTCTTCTCTTCTTCTCCAAATAGGACTGTTCGTTGGAAGTGAAAAAACTCCGACCAACCATTTGCATAACCGTCGAATCTCCATACCGTTGAACCATTTCTTGATATTTTAAGACCATGAAGAGAGACGCCTTAATGAGTATAGTCGATTGGTGTGTTGGAAATGACATGGATCTCTTTGTAACAGGTGATGCGGCCAGTATTTGCGTTCTCGAGTTGGGTATTTTGGCTTGCAATTCCGAACAAATTTATTGGCACGAAGGTTTCAAGGTTGGATGTTGGATGTTGAATGATGTGTGTAGAGGGAAGCGAGGGCTTTTTGATGGTATGATGATCCAGCAGTTTGGATATGGTTTGCTAGAGTTTTTTTGGCTTTTAAGGTAGTTGACCCATTTGGAGAAGAAAAAAAGAGAGAGGGATTTTTTTTTTTTTTTTGTATTTTAAATATTTTAATAAGGCCTAATAACAAAAGAATCTTTAAGTTTGACACTTATTGTGAAAAACGTTTCTACGTTTCAATTTTTTTTACGTTTTCATCCCTATTTTCACGTTTCATTGCTGAAAACCTCATTTTCACCAATTTGAAACGTAAGGATATTTTGCACATTATAGGCCAAATGTAGGGATGTTTTGTGCTATTAGGCCTTTTAATAATTATTTGGACTCACTTGCGCTTTTTAAAACATTTAGAAGTAAGATAATAATTTATTCTTTATTATTATTTTTTATTTAAATGAGAAAGTATTTTGGTAATTTTACATTAAAAAATGGTGAAAATGACGTTTCTTGCAATGAAATGTGAAAATAAGGACAAAAATGTCAAAAAAATGAAATGTGCGGACGTTTTCCGCAATAAACTTTAAAAGTAGGGACGTTTTGTATTAAGTACCCTAAAATTTAACCCAACATTCATGTAAATTACCATTTAACTATAATATCACAATCATTAGCATTAGCATTATTGCCATCGGGATGAATACAAATAATGTAGTGCTATTACGAGTCACGTATTGCAAGTTATCTCTGTCATATTAAACACTATTCATGAAATCTGTAATCACAGCAGTTGGATTACTTCTGGAGGTGATTTATTTGGGAGCTTAAATCTATCCCCTTGATGAGTTATTTACTTATTTATGCCTATAATGAATTTTAATTTATTCACATCTCTCTTGAACAATAATGTAGTGCCACTAATTATGCTAATATAATCACCCAACCCTTATTCTCCGCACACAAAACTGCAAATTCTTATTGAACACATTCAAAAAATATTATTTTCATAACATTGAAGAATAGACATATAATTTTTCTAAGAAGATGGACATGATCCTCTCTCCAAGACCAGTAAGAAGCATAGCATAGCCGATCCTTTCTCCAGTAACTCTTCATGACCACG